AAAAAAATTGCAGGCACTTAATTATTTTTTTTTTACGTGCGCTCAGAATAGTGGCAGAAAAATAACGCCATAGCTGTCAGGTTAAAACAGTCGGTCGTGGTTTTGTAACGTAAACGCTGGCCCTCTCTCTCCTACACTCTGTCTGCTATTCCCGAACAGAGATATGCAAGTCTCTCCGTGACTGCAGCTGCCAGTCAAAGCTGTTATGATGACGTTACGCCCCAATTTAACATTACCGCGGTAGGAATTTGAATCAAACTTATGGGAAAGGAGACCCCTTGGACATAAATCAGCGTGATGAGAACTATTGATAACAAAAGAAAGAATCTTTGGAAAAAATGTATCTGAGGAGAATTAATTTATTTTAGTCTGACCGCAGTCCCATCCGCTAACATGGAGGAGGCGGGGTTTATGACCCATACTGCAGCCAGACACCAGGGGGCGGTAGAGACGTTTTGGCTTCATGTTTTGGGCGTCGTCCACGTTTTCTACAACTAGATCCGCTATCCGTGCACATTGCGCGCTCCCGACGGAGGGGAAACGGGGGATAACTACTAAAACTCAGAGAGATTATAACGGATCAATAAAAATCAGTTGATATCAGCGTGATTGATCTCCAGCAGAATGAACAGCGCAGGTAAGAATTGAAACACAGGACGGCAGACTTTAGGAACTATCACGAAACCGACCACCAAACGCCTCCGGGCCATTAAAGGCGCAAGCGCGGGGCTCCGCTTCTGATAGTCCACCTTCGTAAATGTGTTTCGATTACAATCTGCATTCTTAGACTCTTGAAATTTCTTAGTCCAACGTGTGCATCTTTTCTCTATTTGCTTACAGTTGTGCAGGAGAAAAAAGTACTTTTGTGAAAGAAAAATACTTTGACAGAACTGAAACGCTGTTTCTTCTATAAACACATTCAGTGCGAGAAGATTAAGAAGTCAGAATCACGTTAAACCTCAGCATTCACTAAACTGAATGTATTTGCTGCTTTAATCTATTTCTGGGTTTTTTTGTTTTGTTTTTTTTAAAGGAGTTTCAGTTGTTTTCTCTTTCGGACAGTAAACTCCAGATGAAACTCATTAACCCATCTGAACCTTATTTCCTGAAGAATTTAATGCAGATGTTCGCCTTTGTAGTAGCGACAGGAATTAAGTGAAATTGAAAAAAAATAAAATAAAAAATCCGAATTAACAGAAACTTTCTGTTTTGTACATAGTGCAATTTGGGCAATATGCAACCAGATTTTTTTGTTTACATTTTTACAATCAAGTTGTTTCACTAATTTCAGTTTTTTGTGTCTGATTTTTTTTTTTTTCTTCAACTACTGAGCCCAGTCCTTCCTCTGTAATTGCTCGGGTGTCAGGTTAACATACTCATTCCTTTTTGAGATGCTGGAACAGCTGCAAGAGCAGTACAGAGAAAACTCCACAATCAGATGACCTTCCAGGAGCATGCACTGGGCTCAGGGAGGGGACACTGGAGGACACTGGGTGGGAAAACAGACACTCCGACAAATGACATAGGAAGCCAGAGATAATATATACACTGATGGGTGATAAGGGAAGTGGAAACACATAGTTAAATAGCAGGAACAAATTAGAACAAAACGGGATGCAAAGCTGGACACAGTGCACATGAAACAACAATTAACTAAATAAAACACGCAAGCTTGACATTGGCATAGAGATAAGCAAACCCAGGAACACACGACAGGCTGAAGAGACAAGGATGAAACAAAGAGAAGAACATGGGAAGAAGTAAGGGAGACAAAAAAGAGACACAACTAAGACGCAGAGCGAGAGAAAGGGAGACACAGAGACAGATATCAGTGATTTTGAATTTAAAAATGTGGTAGCTTATTGTAAACAAAATGTAAGTGGAGAGAAAATCGTGTGTGGTTCTCTGGTTTGCTGGTTTAAAGTCATTAGTTTAATTGTCATAAAAGGTCATGAGTAAAAACGAGAACCTGTGGTGGGGTTTCGGTTGCCTTTTTTCACCTTTTTTTTCAAGCCCCCCCCCCAAAAAAGGTGGTTACAGCACACCAAATAAAAAATCAAATTTTAATTAAAATGCCATTTTTGTACAGCAGAGAGACAAAGGGAGACTTCATAGTACAGTACCGCAGTGTGTATTTTCACTGTACTCATACAAAAGATATAACTGACCAATAAATGCTCTGCATGCCTCTAAATTGCACAGCACATTTGGGTGCAGTTGTGTCCCGGATACTGTATTCATGGTAAATGGACTGGTTCCTTTTTTTTCTCAATGTATTTCTGTTTTTATATTACTGTGAAGTACTTTGTGTTTTTTATCCTGTGAATCAAATCAAATCACTTTTATTGTCACATCACATGTGCAGGTACATTGGTACAGTACATGCGAGTGAAATTCTTGTGTGCGAGCTTCACAAGCAACAGAGTTGTGCAAAAATACAATAACGTAAAACAAGCAAAATATAAGAATGGCTAAATCTGAGACTAATAAATATATGTACAATATATAATAGTATATGCATTACTGGACTAAATATGTTTTTCTACGTGTGTGAGTGTGTGTGTGTATACATATTTTACAAATTAAATAGAGTAAACAATAAAATAAAATATATAAAAATATACAGAAGAAGAGTGCTATATAAATAAATTGAATTAAATATATAGTGCTTTCTACTCTACCTAAGTTCCTTGTAACTAAAACTGATTCTAAAGTACAATTTCACTAACACATCAACACACGTTATTTTGCAGAGGCTATAGAAGCTGCTGTAATCTTCACATTTTGAATTTTTACTCAAAATAGTATTTCGAGTTTAATCTTTTCGACTTCATTCTAAAAATGATCAATAATATGTTTTTTTCTTAATATGGTCCTAATATTCCTTCATAGGGGTAAAGAGAGCTAATGTTGATGATACTGTTGTGACATATTATTCAGTTTAATTCAGTTTTATTTATACAAAACCTAATCACAACAACAGTTAAGGTGCTCGAGGTGCTTTGTATTGGAAGGTAAAGATCCTACAATAATGCAGAGAAAACAAAAAACAACAATCAAACCACCTCCTATGAGCATACGCTTTGGTGACAATGGAAAGGAAAAACCTTTTAACTGGAAGGAACCCCCAGCAAAACCAGGCTCAGGGAGGGGCAGCTATCTGCCGTGACCGATTGGGGTGAGGGGGGGAAGACAGGACAAAGACATGCTATGGAAGAGAGCCAGTGACTAATTATAACTAATGAGTGGGGGGGAAATGGTGAGAGAAGAAGAAACACTCAGTGTATCATGGGAATCCCCCAGCAGCGACACGGTGTGGCGGAGTTTGAAATATTACTCTTTCTGAGTCACAAAATAGACTTTTAAGATATTTTCATGTCAGAATGGTGCTGTGTAAACTTCAAATATCTGCTCGATTTATCAAGACATCACATATTTGCATAAGGGCTCTAATGTTTTCGGAGATGCCTGTTACCCACCACACCGTGTTTCTCCGCAACTGCCTCGTTTGAGTTTTGGACGAAATGGATTCTGGGATATTGCATTTCGTCATTTTGTGCTGATTGGAGACCAAAACAGCCAATCAGATTTTTTTTTGCATCCAAGTCTGTGATTGGCTGGTTTTGTGGCACAAATATAACGGTGTAGAGAAAGAGTTGAGCGCGCACGGGCAGAAATGTTGAGAGCGCAAGCAACACATTGCGAGCAAGCGCAAATGCAAAAACTGAGCGAGAGGGGCTGCTATTGTGCGTGTGTGAATAATAGCAAACACTGAAATACATTTTCTGCACGCAGCAATGAATTCTGTTCACTCAAATTCAGTTTTTCTTCGCTCAAAATAAATTTCTCCTCAAAATGCAACACTTGCGCCTGCAAATTTTTTTTACGTGCGCTCAGAATAGTGGCACAAAAATAACGCCATAATTCTGTCTTACCATTCTTTAGCTGTTGAGAAGAAACCACACCACACTACCACAAAGATATTACGTGCTAATTAATAAACTCCTCGGAAATATATATTTTTTTTAACTTTGAATAGATTTGGAATAGCTGTTTCCCTTTCAGTATTTATCCCAAGCTAACCAGCCACCAACTAGAGAGTGGAATCAGTTTCTTGGCAAGAAGAAGAAACTGCCTGGTCAGAGCTTTGGTTTGCACCAAAAAGTAAACATGGAAAGCTGAAGACATGACTAGTTTTAATTTCACCCAGAAGATTGGTTTGAATTTTTTGTTTCTTGTTTTTCATTCCAGCTATGTACCCACCGGTCATGGCACCCCAAGCCAACATGTTTGGCAATGTCCCCGGCTATGAAGGCACTGTGCCAGGAGGAGGTAAGAAAAGCCCGGTTCACATAATTCCTCACATTAATGCTGTTGCTGGTACTTGAAAATTTGTCATTGATGCAGGAGGTTTCCTGCCTCCTCCCATGCCCATGGAGCCAGTAGCCCCACCCCAACCCGGCCCTGAAAATCCCGAATGGAGGTACGACATATTATCTGTGTTTCTGAGCTGCTCACCAACCAGTAGAATATTCTGGTTTAACACAGAGTTTATGTGTTTTGTAGCATCCCCTCTCTGTCTGAGGATGAGGCTTTAAAGGCATTCAAGGAATTTGTGTCGTCTCATTGCTGCTACAGTGACGCTCCAGTCACTCAGGGAGTCATCACCTCCATGGAGCCATTCAACACATTTAGGGTGATTAAATGTTCCCTTTTTATAATGCTGTCAGCATCAGTGATGCTGAGGACTGAGTTACCTCCATATCTGCCTTTACTATCTTGATCAGTCTACTAAAGAGGTCTGGTTTGAACTGCTTTTATTCAGTTTAAATGTTTTTTCCAAATATTTGACCAAAGGACATAATTGAATGATAATGAACTGTTGAAAAATTAACATGTGTAATGATTTTTTTTCTCAGAAACCTGAGGGCTTTAAGTAAGTGTCCAAACCTACTGAAGCAGTAGTTTGCCAACCCCATGGCAGCAAATAATTGTGCAGTTTTGTGGGTTTGACAGTTTATTTCATTACAAATCTTCAGGGCTGTTGCAAGTGGTCAAAAACTACACTGTAGATTATTCTTACAGCTGGATTTGTTATGCAGTAATGCACACCACGCTGTTACTAGTAAGCTAACGTCAGTTATTTCTACCTACAGTTTTATGCTAACGACAACCATTCATAATATTTTTTGTTACAAAATATTTTCACCCTAAGTTGTTTCCCTCTTGTTTTTTTTTTTTTTTAAATCTACGTGTGCATTAATACAACTTCATCCTGATCCAGAAACACACTGAAGGCTCACAAAGTTCATTGTACGTTGACAGGGGAATCTTATCATCACATCCAGTTTCTCTTGGTAAAGTCAGTTTTCTGTTCTTTAGTACCGTCTAGAGACATTCACTGAGTCCAGGTCAACTGAGTGGGCCCAGAAACCATATGAAGGTAAAAACACATTTTCATTTTATTCAGTCCAGAACAATTTACAGGCAGTCGAGAAACGGGTAAAAAAAAAATCCCTGAACTAAAAAGGAAACATGGGGAAAATCACAGCTAGTGGGGCAACTCAATAATAAATACACAAGATAACGAGGGAAGAGGAAACGGGAGGGAGATACAAAAACAAACTAATTACAGAAAACTGAACAATGGAAGGAAACGAAATACCACAAATATTCCACTATGGGGAACAGATACATGAATATAATTCCAAACAATACCAAGATTTACTAAAAAAAACTCAAAGTCACTTTCTAACAGACCCAGGACCATAACAGAAACTACATGGAAAAATGCCACTGCAAAATTTCCAGTGTTGAATTGACACTAGAAAGTGTCTATATAGGTCCACTCTTTTGAGCGTTAAATGAACATTTTTTACAGTGTGATATTTTTAACAGTAACCTAGACCGTTTTAAAGGTTAGCAATGACTAACACTGAGCAGTGCTGATTTTCCAACACTGGAAAATAACTCAAAATGCTAGTAATATTCCAGTGTTAGCAAATCAGCACTGCTCAATGTCATTGTTAATCTTTAAAACTGACTAGGTTACTGTTAAAAATATAACACTGTCAAAAATGTTTAACACTCAAAAGAGTGGACTTATATAGACACTTTCTAGTGTCAGTTCAACACTGGAGAAACACACTTGCTTCTGCTTTCATTACAACGAATTCCTCTTTTGGTCATCGTTGCCTAATCCTACTCGCAATGGAGTAACTTACCTAAACATCAGTTTGTTTGTTTTTTACTGTCACTTGCTGTGAGCTCTTGTGTAATTAATAGGTGAGCCTGCTGACTTTTACACCCAGCCCGCTCCACAACCGTGGGAGGTCCAGGCCACGCCCCCCAATCTCTTCAGTGACCATAAAGTGAAGATCCGGGTGCCATTCACGTCCTCTGTCAAGGTGACTGAATAACAGAAGCTATCTATCAAAGTGCTGCTTTTAGCTTTAAGAGGGCTGACACAACTTTCATTATGTAAGTCGAATTCCC